TTGGTGTATCTTTTCCTGCCTTTTTAAAAAATATATCTGTCCCCTTACATTTAAAGTGGATCTGTTATAAGCAAAATATTGTGTGTTTTTTAAGATCCAGTCTAGTAATACTTAATGGAATGATGGTTCTGTGTACATCTAATGTAGAATGTGAAAAAGTAGGGTTTTAGGCTGTTAATCTTAATACTTTTTTTTGTCCCTTTCTTGCCTTATTTTGAATTACCAAGCATTATTTTTTTTTTCCTCTACTAGTTTTTTAGTATACATTTTTTTGTACGGGTATGTCTGTATGCATTTTAAAGTCATTGTCGGAGATTATATGTGCAGCTTTTATTAGATTCCAGTCTAAATTTGTGTGTTTGATACTTAACTAGAAAATACAAGAACCTTATGACAACTGAACATTTATCCTCTATCTTTTGGATTAGTCTAGTCATATATTTTTTACTTGTACATAGAAGTCATTGTTTCTGTTATTTCAGTTGTCAATATTATATTTATCCAAATACCTTCACATTCTGTTCAGTTCTATACTTCCTTTTGTCATCATTTTCTTTGCGTTTCTTTTAGTCTGATATTTCTTTCACTTGTAACAAGAAAGCTTTTGTTCATTGTGTTTATTTCATCTTCATGCTTGAATATTTTTCTTTGTGTAGGAATCTAGGTTGGTTTGTTGATTTTTACTTATTTTTTAAAAAATCTTAGCACTTTTTTAAAATTTTTTTTTAATAACAATGATTTTTTTTTTTTTTTAAAGATTTATTTATTTATACATGCACTGGGTATAGTCAGAAGCAGGGGAGGGTGAGAGAATTCACCAGAGCCAGAGCAGGGAGCAGAACAGGCAGACTGATGAGGTACACTACTGAGGGGAGCAGCGGGTGGCAGGAGAGGTCTGTGCGCCATGTAGGACCCCCCACCCAGCGGCCAGGGATCGAACTGGCGCTGCAGAGGCTACAGGCAGCTTCATAGCCCAGTGCTCAACTGCTACGCCACTGGGGAGACCTAGCACTTTATTTTTTTTTAAAGATTTATTTTATTTATACAAGAACCGGGGTACAGGCCAAATGCGTGGGAGAGTGAGAGGATTCACCAGAGACAGAGCCGGGAACAGAACAGGCAGACTGACGAAATGCACTGCTGAGGGGAGCAGCGGGCAACACAGGAGACGTCTGCTGCGCCATGTGGGTTGCTCTGAGGCTGGCTGGGATCGAACTGGCACTGCAGATGCTGTGGACCGCTTCACAGCACTGCAGCACTCAACTGCCTGCACCACCAGAGAGGCCCCCATAGCACTTTAAAGATGTCGTTTTATTGTCTTCTGTTCCCATTATTTCTGATAAAAAATTGGTTCTTAGTCTTAGTGCTGTTACCTGGATGGTAATGTATCTTACTTTCCCCTAGTTGCTTTTTAAGATTTTTCTCTTTGATTTTGGTGTTTAAGACTTTGATTCTGATGTGTCTAGGTGTGTTTTGTTTTTGTATCCTGCTGAGGTTCATAGAACATCATACATTTGCTAGAGACTCATGTCTTTTATTAATTTTGAAATTCTTCAATCCAGTATTCTTGAAATATTGTTTATTGCTTCATTTTCTCTTCAAGTTTTATAACTCCAGAACATGTATATTTAGACCTTTTCTCCATGTTTACATGTCTTTACACCTTTAAAAAATATTTTCTGTTCTTTCTCTTATATCTCATGGTGTGTCATGTTTTGTCTCTTCACCAGTCCTCTGTTTTGCAGTTTCTGAACTATGAGTTCTTAAATCCAGTGGTTAGGGCCTCCCTTGGTGGTGCAGCAGTTGAGTGCTGGGTTGCAAGGCTGCCTGCAGCCTCTGCAGCGCCAGTTTGATCCCCGGCCACCGGCGAGGGTCCCTAAAAAAAAAAAAAAGATCAGCTTAAATCCAGTGGCTGTATTGTCCAGTTCTGGAGTTTTCACTTAAAACTCTTCTAAGCATTCTAGCACTTTGTTGGAAATCTCCATCCATTCATTTTTACCCCCTTGAATATATCAGTGACAGTTGTTTTAAAATCTCTTAGTAATTCCAAAATATGAATAGTCTATGTGTTTTTATTTTCTATTTTCTGTTATTTCTTGGTGGTCCATTTGTTCTTTTTTTTAAATTGATATAAAATTCATGTTACATAAAATTCACCATTTTTATCAGTTAAAATACATAATTCATTGGTTTTTAGTATATCTAGTGTTGTACAACTAGTACCACTATATAATTCCAAAACATTTTTATCATCCCCCAAAGAAACTTTGTTCCCATTGACAGTCAATCTTAATTCCCCTCCCTGCCTATCTCCTGGAAATATCTACTTGATGTCTCTCTGGAATCACCTATTTTGGCCATTTCATATAAATAGAATTATACCATTTGTGGTCTTTTGAGTCTGACTTCTTTCATTTTAACATAGTATTTTCGTGTTTATCCACTTTGTGGTATTTATCAATACTGAAGTCTTTTCATGACATAATAATATTCTTTTATGTGGTTACATATGCCACATTTTGTTTATTCGTGTATCATCTGATTGACATTTGGATTTTTTCTACTTTTTTGGCTATTGTGAATAATGATACTGTAAACTTTCATGTACTTTTTTTATAGTAATGTTTTTGTGTAAATACATCTTTAATTCTTTTGGGTCTAAACAGGAGTGGAATTGCTAGGTGATATTATAAATCTACGTTTAAATTTTGAGGAGCTATCAAATTGTTTTTCACAACAGCCTTATCCTTTTCTGCTTCCTCCACTGCCTTGCCTATACTTGTTCTTCTCTCTTTTTTTTAATTGTTATAGTCATGGTAATGGGTATTAACCACTTATTTTTGTTTTTTAGAATGCCTTGTAATTCTTAATTGAAATGTCAGACATGGATGAACTATTATATAGGCTTTACTTGGTATTATTTTTCTTCCAAGATAGTTAAGTGGTAGGCTAACTACTCTGAGATGACTGAGCCTACTGAGGATTGATTTATAAGACTTGTTTGGATTGCTCTATTTCCATTTTGACCTTAATCTAAGGAGGAGAGACTGTGCTGAAGTCTCAGCATCTCAGCACAAAGCTTAGTTGTTTATGAAGGGCTCTCCAACTTTGTGGGGCATGTCCTTCAATCTTTGTCTCCGTAGCATTGGGCAGAAACAAATCTCTGCTTAAGATATTTAGCCTCTTAATTCTTATTTCCTTTAATGTCCTCTTTGTGGTTCTTTCTTCCTCTCTGTTCTGTAGTTTTTAGCTCTGTGGTAGCCAGAAACTTCTCTCTTATCCTCAGTCCAGTAGGACTGCAGCTTTCTAGACTTGGGCTCTGTTTCCCTGTTACACAGCAAAGTCAAGGAAAAAGCCAAGGTAATTGTAGAGCTGATCTTCAATGCTTTCCTTATTTCAAGTGTTGTAACCCCTCCTGTTCTTCTCTGTGTATGTTGCTCTTTGATGCCTTCAATTTTTTTTTTTTTTACATTGTCTAGATTTTGTAACTTCTTATTAGCAGGTGGGTTAATTTGATACAAGTTACTCTCTTTTATTATGGGAACTGCAGATACTGATCTTTTATGAATTGAATCACAAGAAAATGAATAATTGATTCCTACTGAATGAAAACATGAATTTCCAAGAGAAATTTTGATAAGATTAGAGGATTATTTTTTTCAAACAGAAAAGGGTCATAGTGAGTCATGTTGAAGAGTAGGAAAAACTAAAAGTAAGATGTGGCAAAGTTGATGTTCGGTAATTTTTTTTAAAACTTAAGTGTTCAAAAAATAAGCAGTGAAGTGTTTAAAAAATAAAGAGTTTGAGGTGAGAATTGATGAAAGACATCTAATAAAGAATAATTACTGTCTGAATTTAGTAGTGAAGAAATTGAGTATCTGAATTTTAAGTGGGTGCTATTACAGTAGCACTTGGTAATTTTTGTAAATGTTACTAAGTATTAAGTGGTTGGAGATGTTAGTGTTTCATGTGATGACTAAAGAACAGTGTATGTTTTTTTGCGTACCAGAGAGTATTGTTCACAAAATCAGGAAAGATACACACAGTAACTAACTGGCTATCTAAATTGTGGGAGGAAGAGAATGAGGTTATAGGAATAGACATAAATGTTTACAATCTAGAGAAGTAGAGAAAGAAGGCAGAAATAGAACTCTATAGAATAATACTTACCAACCCTCCTCTAGGCTTAAAAATGGGGGATTGGAAAGAAACTAAATATTTGCTTTCTCCACCCAAATATAAGGGAGCCAGGTGTTGCAGACCACCTTGTATCTGTGTTTTTCCTTTCGTCCTTTTGTGAACTCTCAAGGTTATTCAGTGATTTTCTTCACACTTTCATTAGGAAATTTGCCAAAGGCATCCTTTTGAGGCAGCTGTCTCTGTACCCTTGGAGGCCATCAGTAATGTTTCCAGAGTAGTCGGCACAAAAATGTTGGACTGAACTGTCTTCATGTTTTAAAACACTGCCCCTGCCAAAACAATTCCCCCCCAGCCCCCAACAGTATGAAATGCTGAGACCACTTTTCTCCCTTTGGATAGTATAAAATATAGAACATTTGAGGCCTTCTGGTCCATTTATAGTTTTTGCTATCATGTCTTTTCAGGTAAAATCCATCAATATATCAATAATAAAGGGAGACTTAATTTTTTTGAGACTTAATTTTTTAAGTGTAATTTAAATAACAATAAACACATTAGAAATCTTTATATATAATGAATGAGATTTTTTTTTTTGGTATAGAACATTAAAAGTTTAATTTTACTACTGAGATTTTGCAAAGTGGCTTTAATTGCTTTCTTTTAGTCCAGGGTGGTCAGATGATGCATGTTTATGCTGGTGATCTTATGAAGTTTTGCGTGTATATTAAATATGATGTATTAGAATAAATTGAACTATTTTGTGTTTTTTTTTCTATCCAATTTAATAATATAGTTAACTGTTGTATCATATGCATCTTTAATATGTTAGCCTGTTTCCTTACTAAACTGTCTTCTTTCAGCCACCCACACAGAATATGCCTATGGGTCCTGGAGCGATGAATCAGAGTGGCCCTCCCCCACCTCCACGCTCTCACAACATGCCTTCAGATGGAATGGTAGGTGGGGGTCCTCCTGCACCACACATGCAGAACCAGATGAACGGCCAGATGCCTGGTAAGTTTTTCTCCTCTAAGACATTAACACCAGAGTTGCTTAGCAACTGAAACGACATGGGGGCTCAAGGGATACTAGATTGTTGATGACAAAACTGCTTTGAATGCCCTCGAGTACAAGCTCTCTTAGAGTTTGTTAGCTACAGAGCTACGTGACCTGTATTCAGTGTTTATCAGGCTGCCCTTGGGCTTTGATGTAGCTGACATACAGCATTCCTCTGATGAACAGAACTGGCTAAATTTAGTCTGTCTGAAACTATGCAATACAGCTGGCTTTAGAAGCTTTTTGGAAAAAAAGGCATTGTACCATGACTTAAGAATTAAAATCTATTTATAATAAGGTATTATAATGTTTCCCTGAGTTTTGTATTTACTTAAAAATTTATTGATCTTAGAAACTAGATTGCTCAGGAAAAGAAATATAACAGTCCCTGAAGGACCTCCCTGGTATGTAAGGGGTTAAGTCTCAGCACTATGGAGCTATCAGTAGCCACTGCAGTGCAGGTTCGATCCCTGACCAGGGAGCTAACCCATATGGCGCAGCAGACCTCTCCTATCTTGCCTGCTGCTCCCCTCAGCAGTGTACTTCAATCAGTCTGCTTCTTTTGCTCCTCACTCTGTCTCTAGTGAATCCTCTCACCCCCCTAAAACCTCTGACCTACACTCCAGCTGTTGTGGAATGTAAATAAATAATTCTTTAAATAAAAAAGGTCCTGAATTGCTATCTTTAATATTTCCTCATTCATACTATTGAAATGAAGCAATAGTATGCGATACTATTATTCAGTTTATAGCATAATAGAAACATGTTTATAAACATAAGTATGTTTATAGCATAATATAATCATGGAAGTTGATATATAAAGCAAAGTTAAAAATTGAAAAGTAATCCGCTTTCTTGTATAATGAGCATAATGAGCAGTTCCTTTTCACTTATTTTAAAGTTTAGTCCCTTAAAATACCAATAACTTTCAGCTCATTGGGTGCTAATTTAGTTAGCTTTTGCACTTTTGAATTTTGAATTGGAAAAATACATTTAAATTATTTTGTTTTTACAACAACTGCAGTCACCTGTACCCACTTTTGCTGGGGTTTTTAAATTTATATGACAGTACCTTTACTTTCTAAAGGCAAATGTTATTTTCATAAACAAAAAGAAACATAAACAAAAAGAAAATATACAAATAATAGTGAAAGTAAATTAAAATGACAAAGCAATTTATTTGTAAAATTATTAATGAGTACCCTTAGGGTGGTATGTGTAGGGACTGTGGGTTAGAAAATGTAATTGGAGGATCTGTAGAGTAAAAGAGGCCAGGTAGCATGGGTTATATAGAAGGATAATGGTGTTTGGATGGTTTATCTCCTATTTCCTGCTAAGATTTTGCCATTATAGATGGCTCACATTCTGCATGGAGAAGGGATAAAGACATAAATAGTTGTCAGCTTATAGTGAGGGGGACTCTTCATGCTGAATTTACATTTAGTTCATCAGAACACATTGTTTTTAGAACAGGAAGGGTAGTGTTAATGTAGGTTAGCAAGTAGGAGTTTTATAACTTTTCGTGGTGGTACCTTTAATTCCGATTTTATTTTCTCCATATAACATTGAAGCCTGAGACAGAAGAAGCAGTTGAGCAGTGATACAATTATTAACATGACATTTTAGTTTCTGTGTGTGATCATTTGGAGTAGTTCTATTTTTTACAAGCCAGAGATTTTCAACCAGTTTTGATCTAAATGGTCAGAATACTGTATAATTTCCAAAACAATTTATAGTTAAAAGAGAAATTGAAAGTAGGAAAAATTGGAAGTCTAGTCACTTATATTTTCTTTATTTACTATGTTCCATATAACATTTAGCCAACCTTTTTGTACACATAAATTTCTATCTAGGCTCTTAATTTCCTATTTTAGTTTTGTTTTAGTTATTTTATAATCTAAGTTGCAGAGCTCCTTATATGCTATTAGTTTCAGATTCCTTTTTAAAGTATAACCGATTTTTTAAAAAAAGCCTAATAGTTCATGTGTATGTTCCCAAAATCAAAAGGTACCGAAACAAATAGCCCTTACCTCTTTCAACACTGGTCCAGAGTGTCACTAGTGTATATTTTCCTACAAAACATAATTGTCTGCACACACACACATTCTTTTTCTTTTCATTCATTTTTTCAAAAATACATAATCAGTAGCATATTTTTTCCCTTTGAAAGATGGATCTTGGAGACAGTTTATGTAGAAAAATAAATTTTTGAGACCACCTAGTAAGGTAAAGAACTACTTCATTCTTTTTGGTGACCTGCACTGCACTCTTTTTTTAAATGGATATTTCTAATTTACTTGAACAATTCTCAAAGAGAAATAAGTTATTTTAAAGTCTTTTGGTATTGAAAGTTATGCTCCTATGAATGTACCTGTATGTTTTTATAAACAAACACACATTTTTATCCATACATAGGTACACACAAGCTTGTATATTTTAGGACAAACTCATAAAACTAAAATTGCTGGGTTAAAGGTATATGTATTCTAAAATAGTTACTGCCAAATTGCTTGACATACAGCTCTCGGTTTTGTGGTATATTTTAGAAAGCTCTTCTACTTCCAAGATTGTTTTAGAAATCCTCCCTTTTGGAGTTCATTTTTATGGTTTCTTTCTTTTACTTTCTTCTCTTTTAGTGTTTAGTTTTACTTACTGGAATTAGTTTTGATGGAAAGAATGAGGTAGGGATATTACTTATTTTTTTCCAGATTGCTACTCTCATCACTACACCATTTATTGAATTTCTTTCTTTTGCCCAATGGTAATTAATACCACCACTATTATCATTTACTAAATTATGCACCTGGGTCTATTTATAGGGTCTACTCTTAATTCTAGTTCCACCAATCTGCTAATTCATTTCTTTGCTTGTGCTGTATACTTTTAATTATTCTAGCTTTATATGTTTTGCTCTTTAATAAAGCTAGTCTTCCTCATTATTCTTTTCAGAATGTTTCTGGCTTTTGAAAAGCATCAATTTCTTAATCTGTAAAAGGAATAACATCCACTTCACAGTATTTGCTCTTTATCATGTAAAACATTTACTTTGCTATATGTAAATATTCAGGTTATTGTTTGGTAGTACGGTAATGCAAAAAAAAATGAAAAGCTTTGCAAAGTAGTTTCATGTAGATCATCACTTTTAACTTTCATACTTTGGTCTGATCACTTTTCTTCAAAGGGCCTACCCATATGCCTATGCAGGGACCTGGACCCAATCAAATCAATATTACAAATAGTTCCATAAACATGCCTTCAAGTAGCCATGGATCCATGGGAGGTTATAACCATTCCGTGCCATCATCGCAGAGCATGCCAGTACAGAATCAAATGACGATGAGTCAAGGGCAACCAATGGGAAACTATGGTCCCAGACCAAATATGAATATGCAGCCAAACCAAGGTAAATAAGTTCTATGCTTTTTTTCTTAACTGTTTATGGCACACTAGTCTTTGGAAATGAAACAATTCTTTTAAATTGTTAGTTGAGTCATAAAAATGTTTGTAGTCAGTGACAATCATACCTTTAGAAAGGGAACTTTGAGATTGAAATCAGCTTAAAATAATTTTTTTATATTAGAAATTGCTTAATTTAGCTTTTTTAGCTGACCTTTGCACAGTTTGAGATTCTGCATTTTTGGATTTTCTTTTAAAGCTGAGCAATGGGTAACCAAACAGTTAGTTTAGAATGAGAAATTTGAGAAAATATAGTTGTCTTTATAACTGTAATCCTTTTAAAATCATACTCTGGTTTGTTTCACTGATTAAGGCTATATTAGTTTTTGTGACATTCTCTTGAGCTATGTGGAGGTTTTTTGATGCTGTATTTTAGTACTAAAAGGTAATTTTAATATAATTTGTTATTAATATTAAGTAGAGGTGTATTGTTTTCTTCTAGTCTTAGTGAGTCTGTTAAAGTTAATTACCAACCTCGGAATGAAATTATCATGTTTCTCTTTTAAGTATTCTTGTGAATAATAGCTAAACACCAGTAAGTGGCGCTCTGTTCTACTAATTGCCTGTTAAAACATTTGGCATATTGCCAACTTAAAGCAATTTTAGTTACACAGTATGGTTAAGATTAAGAGTATAAAATGGATTTAAATGTAGTTGCAATAAAATCTTCTAGATTTTGCTTATGAAAAATAAATCACTAAAATAATCCCTAGATAAAGGAATTTAATGTTCATCTTTTGATAATTATTTGTTATGAAGTAATATATTCTAATTTTAAACAGACGTTTTCTTTAATTTTTATGAGATCTACTGAAAACAAAGGAAGATAATTGAATAAACTGTCAATGAATGTAGTTTTACTAAACTTGCATTTGCTGCGGTATTTCCCCCCCATTTAGTTTAATGCCCATGATAAGGATATCTTCTTTTCTTTTACTAGATCAGTTAAAGTTTCAAAACAATAACAAGATCCAGTCACTTATAGATCAAAAGATTAGAGTTCAAATGTTTCTATGTGCAGTTTGATTACTAGGAGAGCAAGAAAATTGATAGTGATTCTAGCTGTAGCTATAGTGATGATGGCATACTTCTTAGAAACGATAGTTAAAAAAAAGATAATTTGGACACAAAAATGAATGTTGCTGTAGCAAGGTTTGATGTAAGATTTGAAGAAAATCTTCAAAACAATAATGCATGCAACATTGTTCATGTAGAAAATAGTTACTGGTTTTGGATAAAAGTGGGGAGGACTATGTATAGGAATTTTTTTCAAAACCTTGGGACTTATATTTTTCAAAATACCATATTGTGTATTAATGTATAATTTCTCCTTTTATTACAATGGTTATATTACTTTTGGTTTTGTTCCTCTAATTTATGAATTAATTAATGGAAAATATACTATATAGAAAGTGAAGATGTTGGGATCTATTTCAAGAAAATAAAAAGAGAGGCCTCTCTGGTGGTTCAGGGGTTAAAATCTCAGCACTGTCAAGCTATGGCCAGCCATTGCATAATGAGTTCAATCTCTGGCCAGGCATCTAACCCACATGGTGCAGCAGACAGCTCCTGTCTCTCCTGCTGCTTCTCTCAGTAATGTACTTTAGTAGATCCACCTTTTCTGCTCCCCACTCAGTTTTTGATGAATTTTCTCACCCCTGGTACTTCAGGCCTATACCTCAGTTCTTGCATGTGTAGACAAAATAAAATAAATCTTAAAAAAAAAGAAATAAAATTTAAAGAAATAAAAGTCGCTTTTCAAAAGAGGAAATGGAGTAGAAAGTCAGTGAGAATATTTTCAATATTTAAAAAATCTCTTCAGGTAAATAAAAAGCTTTTCAGTTAAGTTTTGATATTTCAGAATGAAAAGAACAACAAAGAATATTGCAGTTACCAAAAAATGAAAAAAGAAAAAGCTATATAAGATTTTGGCCATATTTACTTTATTTAATTACCTTAATGACTTATAAAATATTTCAACTATGGTATCTGTTTGATGAGAAATATTGCTTAACATGAAAGTTTCATGTTAATTTTAATATTCATTTTATTATAGAATGTTTTCTTTTTTTTTAAAGACTTATTTATTTATGCATACAAGAACTGGGGTACAGGCCAGAGGCTTGGGGGGTGAGAGGACTCTCCAGAGACAGAGTGGGGAACAGAACAGGCAGATCAACTGCAATACACTGCTGAGGGGAGCAGTGGGCAAGTCAGGAGAGGTCTACTGCGCCATGTGGGCAGCTCCCTGGTTGGGGATTGAACTCATGATGCAGTGGCTGCGGACAGCTTCATAGGCTGTGTCTCACACCTTGCGCCAAAAGGGAGGCCCTATTATAGAATATTTTCTAAGCTACCTTTATAAAGCCAACTACAAATTTTACAGTAAAAACTGTTCTAATCTGGGCCTCTCCGGTGGTGCAGCGGTTGAGCAATGGGTTGCGAAGCTGCCCGCAGCCTCTGCAGTGCTGGTTCGATCCCCAGCCACCGGGCGAGGGTCCCACATGGCACGCAGACCTCTCCTGCCGCCCGCTGCTCCCCTCAGCAGTGTACCTGTCAGTCTGCCTATTCTGCTCCCTGCTTTGGTTCTGGTGAATTCTCTCACTTTCCCCCACTTCTGACTGTACCCCAGTGCTTGTATAAATAAATCTTTAAAAACAAAAACAAAAACAAACAAAAAAACTTCTAATCTAAATATGTGGGAGGAATTAGAAAAGACTACTTTTATTTAAAAAAAATTTATTTTATATATTTTTACATCATTTTTCATTTTTGCACAATGTATGCATTTTCATCTTGATTATAGTCCCCATATAATTCCTACCCACCTTGTTTTGATCCTACTCCCTTTCCACCCCCACTGTAGTGTGTCTCAGGTTTATAGTTGCTTGTTGCTTGTTGATTTTGATTTTTTCTTTATTATAGTTAGTCTTTTTCCTGGTCCCTTATTTAGGTTTTCTAAATTACTGCTATGAGTGAGACCATCCGGTATTTTTCTTTTTCTTTCTGGCTTATTTAGCTGAGCATGATGCTGAAGAGACTACTTTTACATGGTCCTTAAAGAAAAACTTAGAAAATACAAAAATTTAAAGGAAATATTTTGACTTAGAAATTTTTCTTACATTTATTGAGGTGTTGGCAATTCTTTGAATAAAAATCAAAACACTGAAATCTTTTGTATATTCCTATATTTCTATATGCATTTACTTATAACAATAGATAGTAGAAAAAATGTTTAAGCATCTTACCAGTTTTTTTTTTTAACTATTTCTTTTTTTTTAAAAGATTTATTTTTATTTATTTATTTATACAAGCACTGGGTACAGTCAGAAGCGCGGGAGGGTGAGAGAATCCACCAGGGCCAGAGTGGGGAGCAGAGCAGGCAGAAGGACCGAAGTACACTGCTGAGGGGAGCAGCGGGCGGCAGGAGAGGTCTGCGCGCCATGCGGGACCCTCCTCAAGTGGCCGGGGAGCAGCCGGGGATCGAACCGGCGCCGCAGAGGCTTCTGGCAGCTTCGCAACCCAGCGCTCAACCGCTGCGCCACCGGGGAGGCCCCATCTTACCAGTTTTTTTTTTTTTTTAATATATATTTTTTTTTTAATAGAGGCATGTTTTATTTATTTGTTTGTTTGTTTTGTTTATACATGCACTGGGTACAGTCAGAAGCGCGGGAGGGTGAGAGAATTCACCAGAGCCAGAGCGGGGAGCAGAGCAGGCAGAAAGACCGAAGCACACTGCTGAGGGGAGCAGCGGGCGGCAGGAGAGGTCTGCGTGCCATGTGGGACCCTCCTCAAGTGGCCGGGGAGCAGCCGGGGATCGAACTGGCACCGCAGAGGTCGCCGGCAGCTTCGCAACCCAGCGCTCAACCGCTGTGCCACCAGGGAGGCCCCATCTTACCAGTTTTTAATAGAGGGGTTTTACTAGTGGAGGAAAAGAAACACAAGATTTCTTAGATTAAATCTTAATCAAGTAAAAAAAAGATATTTTTTATTAATTTTCTTATATCATTGTTCATTTTTAAACAATATTTCTTCCCCCCACCCCCTCAGGTGTAGTCCCATAAAATTTCCTTCACCAGTGCACCCGTGCACCATCACCCTCCTTCTCCCCTGCAGGGTGTCTCTGATTTATAATTGTCCTTTTTTTTTTTTTTTTTTGTGTTTTGTGTTTTGTACTGTTACTATTTTTTTACACTGATGTCTTATTTGGTTTCCCTATATTCCTGCTATAAGTGAAACCATCCGATTTTTTTCTTTTTCCTTCTGGCTTATTTCACTGAGCATAATTCCTTCTAGCTCTATCTACGTTGCTGCGAATGGCATGAGTTTATCTTAAAAAAAGATATTTTTGACTAACCCAGAGAATTTTGTTTTAAGAAGAGCAGTTATATGATGATTTTAAATTTATTTTATTAATAATTATTAATTATTTGTCATTTGAAAACTTTAGCTAATTATGTGGTGGTAAATTTCTAACCAGAACTTTGGAGGTAAAAGTCTGGATGCATTTATACTGGTAGTTTTGAAGTGGCTTTATTTGTTACCCTCTCCCTTCCCTCCTTGTCTCTCAGTTGTCAAAATGAAATTAAGTGGGGGAAAATAACCTGTCTAAAAATCTTGTCATAATTTAAGAGACTGATTGAAATTAATTCAACAGATAGCTATATGTTTATAATTTATCATTTTGATGTTAGAAAAATAAGTATTCTACTAATTTATACTACTAGGTACAGAATAATAGGGCACATTGTGTACTATAGAATAATAGGGCACATTGTGTACTGATTTTTGAAATTTCTCCTGTGGATTTGCAACAAGCATTTATTGACCTGAAATTTTTAAAGACCTGAAATTATTGTATTTTTCTCATTTTAATTTTTAAGATTATTTTGCATGTTTTTAGCTCACACAGTCACTTATACAGCCCATATTACTGTGGAAAGTGAG